TGAAGGTAGGTGTGTGTGTGTGGTGTTGTAGGGTATGGTGTGTGTGTGTGGTGTGCGCGTGTGTTATAATTAGCATTATAATAATTATCTTAATTATTTTAATTTATTTTTTTTCATCCATTCAGGCCAGAATAGCGATCAACTATTTGTATCTTGCTCGGACGATATTCAACAAATAGCCACAGATTTGAAGGTATGTACGTGTGTGTGTGTGTTTGTGTGTGTGTGTGTGTGTGTGTGTGTGTGTGTGTGTGTATGTGTGAGTGCACATGTGTAGTACAAAAATTTTAATTTATACACATATTTAGAAATTGTGGAACACACAAGTGCTGCACCAAGAAGGAAAGTACAAAGAGATGTAAGTACACACACACACACACAAACACTGATACACACGCACACAAGCAGAGATACACACACATACGCAGAGATGAATTTATGAATTTTTTAAATTTCAAAAGTGCTTTTCTGAAACGTTGTTCATTTAGCAAGAGCTGTTTATATATTAATGATACTACTACTTCTACTACTACTACTACTACTACCACTACTACTACTACTACCACTACTACTACTATTACTACTTCTACTACTACTACTCATAAAAATAATGATAAAAACAACAACAACAACAACAACAACAATAATAATAATAATAATAATGATAATAATAATAACAGTAATGATGACGATGCTTCATCGTCACCAATGACGTCATCAGTCGTTTACAGCTGGAAGCGTAATCGCGAAATTTTGGAGTCGCTACTGCTGACCACCAGTGAACACGAGGAGACGTATACATACATCATCACCGGTTCTGATGATGATGATGATGATGGCGATGATGATGATGGTTGTGGTGATAATGATGATGAAAATGATGATGATGGCTGTGTTGATGATGATGATAATTGTTCGACGGTGTCGAAATTGATGATAATGACGATGATAGTGATGAATGTGATGGTGATGAGGATGATGATGATGAATGTGATGATGACGGTTGTGGTGATAGTGACGATGACGACGACGATGATGATTATTGTTGTTGGAATATTGATAATGATGATGATTGTAGGGATGAGGATGATGATGATGATGACAAATGTTAAGGATATTGTTGATGATGATAAAGATAATGATAATGATAAATATTATGGTGAAACATGTCGAATTAATGACTCAGGCGTCCTAGACAAGTCGAGAGACAAAGAAATATCGCTAGACGAGGCCGTTGATCGAGACATCATCAACAGAACCAGTGGTACGTTCGATAGCGGCTGTGGTAAGCGCGTTCCTATCGCTACCGCGATGGCCGAGGGCTGGATCAAAGTTGAGAGGGTTAAGTGCAGAAGATTTGAAGAGAAAAGAAGTGATATAGGTGAGTGAGCGAGTTTATGAGTGAGTGAGTGAGTGAATGAGTGAGTGAGCGAGCGAGCGAGTGAATGAGTGAGAGTGAGCGCGAGAGCGAGTGAGTGAGTTAGTTACTCAGTTAGTCGATTAACAAATGAACAAATTCACCACTACCAACAACGACAACAACGACAAACAGTATCACAAACATCCTCAACCACAAACATCCTCAACCACAAACATCCTCAACCACAAACATCCTCAACCACAAACATCCTCAACCACAAACATCCTCAACCACAAACATCCTCAACCACAAACATCCTCAACCACAAACATCCTCAACCACAAACATCCTCAACCACAAACATCCTCAACCACAAACATCATCACAGGCCTCATTACCATTAAAAGTTTCACAGAAGACAGTTCTTATACCATAGATTGCGTCATAGACGCGCGAAACGGCAGGGAACTGAGCGAAAATGAAGCAAAAACTTGCGGAATTATCGTCGAGATAAAGAACGACGCGAATACTTGTAATGGTTTGGCGCCAAAAAACATCAACAACAACAACAACATCGGCAACGACGAAAACACTAAAAACATCAGCATCAACAACCACAACGACGCTTATCACTACAACAAAATGCAAAATGGAGACGACAATAGCAGTTTATATTTAAATAATACCAACAACAACAACAACAAAAACAACATCATCATCAACAACAACAACAACAACATCATCATCCACAACAACAACAACATCATCAACAACAACAAATCTAGTAATAGTAGTGATTGTAATGGAAGTACTACTAGTAGTAGTAGTAGTAGTATTAGTAGTAGTAGTAGTAGTAGCAACCTAGAAATTACAAAATTCTACAAAAATTTGAAGACCGGTCAGTTGCTGACATTTGAAGATGCCCGAAACCTCGGCCTCATTAAAATTCACTTTTACGAAAAAAACGACGACGACGAATACGAAATGGAAAGTGAAACTGACGAAAAATCCCACAGCGGCAACAGTAACGGCAGCGACATCAATAATAATAACAACAACAATATAAATAGCAACAATTGTTGTAATAACGAAAGCGAAACTACCGTTAAAACCAGCGTTAAAAGTGGGAATAGTATGAAGATCAATAAAAAAAGGAGAAATAATTTTGCCATCACGACCTACGCGGTCTACGATGTTATTGATGCTAGAAATCTTCAGAGGTATTTTGAGTACTTTATTGCCAATACGCGTGTGTACGTTCTTCTTCACACACACACACACACACACACACACACACACACACACACACACACACCACACACACACACACTCACACACATCCACAAACACACACTCACTCACACATCCACAAACTCACACGTCAACACACGTATACACGTACACACACACAAAGGTTAAAGTTCAAGAGGGCAGTCGAAGAGGGCATACTGAATCCGGATGATGGAACTTACGTCAACAAAGTGACGGGAGAAAAAATGAAATTAGTGGAGGCCATTAAAGCCCAATTGGTCAGGGCCGAAATTGTCAAAGGAAATGATGTCATGTTGAACCATTGTATTTGAGTGACGTCACGTTATCGTTATCGTGACATCGTTATCATCATCACCATCCTTATTATTATTATTCTTATCATTAATTTTATCATAATAGTTATTATTATTATTAATTTCATCATTTTTGTTATTATTATTTGTCCAAATTTTTAAAGATGTATTTGGTTTGACTCGATTTTTCGAAAAATTTTGTCGGCCCATTCATTCATTTGCTCATTCATATAATAATTGGTTTTCTATCATAAAACTTTTTAACAAACGAGTTGGTCACAGACAATTTCAAAATACCACAAGAACAGATAAAATAAATCTTCATTAACAAACAAATATGAAACATTAAATAGAACAAATTAATTAATTAATTAAGAAATTAATGAAAAATTAACTAACTAATTAATTTCGCAAAGCAAATTATTTTCATTTCAAGTAAACTGAAATATGCAGGGATTTTTATTGGAAAAACCGAACCGGGGGTTGAGGCGAATAATAACAACAACAATAATAATAAAAATAACAACAATAATAATAACAATAACAACAAAATAATGATGATGATGATCCAATGTTTATTTTATTTTACTGTATTTCTTGCTAACTGCATATAGCACCAATGAACATCTCAGAATAAATGGCATTTATGAGGCCTTTGACGACGTACCTTGAAAAGACAATTTATTATTGCTATCATTGTTAGTAATTGTAGCAGTAGTAGTAGTAAAAGTAGTAGCAGCAGCAGCAGCAGTAGTGGTAGTAGTAGCAGTAGTAGTAGTAGCAGCAGCAGCAGCAGTAGTAGTGGTAGTAATTGTAGTAGTAGTAGTAGTAGTAGCAGCAGCAGCAATAGTATTAGTAGTAGTAGTAGTAGTAGTAGTAGTAGTAGTAGTAGTAGTAGTAGTAGTAGTTAGTATTCAATTTAATTTCAAATTCAAATAGAGTTAAACCCTTTCGATCGTTTTTCGTCACCATGGTTACGAGCGTGGAATGGTTTTGATGATGATGATAGTGATGATGATGGTGATGATGATGATGATGATAGTGATGATGTAGCAGTTGTTATTGCTGTTGGTAATGATAATGATGATGATAACGATGATGAAGATGATGATGATGATAGTGATGACGATGATGATGATGAGGAGGAGGATTTCTCTTTGATCTCACTGGGAGCCTCAGTTTTATGAACAGACTTGTTGACAACCTTGAATATTATGTTAATAATAATAATAACACAAACAACAACCATAACATTAATCATCATAATAATAACCGCAACAACAACAATAATAATAATAACAACAATAACAACAACAATAACAATAATAATTATAATAACAACAACAATAATAATAACAATAACAATAGTAATAATAATAATAACCTTATGAAAATGACAGGCGCAAGCCCCTTGTGTGAAGTCCTTGAACCTCGCCATTGTAATGGGGATCCTCAG